AAATCCAAGATGGCCACCATAACGACTTCAATCTGCATGGATCCTACCCAAAATTGATTTTTATGGTCATAAAAAGCATGCCAAAATGTGCTATTATCCACATACAGCCTTTCACTTTATGGTTGTTGAGTATGATTAAAACAGGTAAATTTAAAAACAAAGCTTACCTTGTCATTTAGAAGGTGGGTTATTTGGTCTTCTGGAACTTGTCTTGACTTTAAAAATTCTTCCATTCTAAACCTACAATAAATACCAGTACTGTATATTCGTGTGGGAATAATTGTTTGTTTATGATTTTTATTTGCAACCACATATATTATTAATCAGTTATTATTAGAGTAATATATTCCCCTGTCTCTTATACACATCTAGATGTGTATAAGAGACAGTATTTAGTGTGTTCGGCAGTGAATTTACTGAAGCTGATTTACTAGAATCCTGAGGGGTAAAACAGAAAGTATAGCGTTGGTTTAGTAATAAAGAGCAAAAATAAAAGTTTTATTAGAGAAAATGGAAAATATACGACGCGGAAAGATGTATGTAACACCTTGAAAATTTGGAAATGAACGTGCTGTGATTGTGTTTGTAATTACTGTATTATTTTAAGATTTTAACTTGCTTCGTGATTGTACTTGGAATTAACTTTCTATTATTTCATTAAGCGTAGGTCTAATTACCTAAAATGAAGACTTTTACTTTGTGATTGTAAATTATAATATTATTTCCCTACCTACATAATTTCATCAATTGAAAGTTTACAGATTGTTTAAACTGGATTTAGCACCAATAGGCCTATTTTGTATTTTATGGATTATAATTGTCATCAGTTATTCAAATAGGAGTACTATAGCACTTCAAAAAATCTAATTCAAATGTGCAGGAAACTGTGAATTGCATACTTACAATAAGGCATTACGTCAACTTCACCAAGTGCCAGAATATGCGTGACGTTATCTGTCAAGATTGGCATTGCAGATCAGAAGGGAATAAGAGAACGATGGGTATATTATTAGAACGGTACCGTACCTTTTCCAAAGCATATAGGTCTATCATTAGTATACGCGTATTTAAATTACAGTCCTACAATGAATTACAAACAGAAAAGAGATAATACAAAATGTGTTCTATTCTATGCATCACGGTTGTTCGCGCAACCGATTTTAAGAATGAAGTTTAATTTGTCACTTACGTCTACAGCCTCTGAAGAATCATATGGCTTGTCGTCGCCCAACACTAGATCTTTCTGTTTCTGCAACAGCTCGGCATTTGAATCTAAGAAAAGTAAAATGTAACAAAAATTAGCATGAATAAAAAAAAAAGTATAGGCCTACTGTAAATTATTTTGAATGGTCATAACTGCCATAGAGTCCCCTCGACAAACGTATAAACAGGATAGAACAATATTTGTATACTACGTGTATACCGAATACAACATCATCGTTCATGATCTGCTGTATCAAAACTAAGGATAGGCCTATAGAAAATGTCACATACCTGGTAGAAACTTAATTACCCCAGTAAACTGCTGCTGAGTTGTCCAATTTACTGTTACTTCTTGACCGATTTTTAATAAGTCGGATGTCTGAACAACCTTGGCTGTTGGTACTATGGAAGTTGTTTTATCAACTTTAAAATATACCAAAGCATTTCTTGGATTTCTTTTTCTTGGATTTCGAGCTTGTCTCATTTTGAGCATGTTCGAACCAGCATTCAACCAAGAAATGAACATCATATCCAGATAATCAAAAGAAATTCAGAAATTGTTTATCCAGTAAGGTGCCCACCCATCATTCCATTGTCAAGCTGTTAATGGTTTGCAATTGTTTTAATATAAACTACATTTCAAAACGCACAGTCACGGCCCTATATGCAAATGGAAATTTTTAATCCTATACGTACCTATATTCATTTTTTTCCAGCAAATATACAATAGTTTTTATATTTTTGCATAGATATTTTAATCACCCCTTAAATGCAGAAAGACAGAATCATACAAACTGAACCCTGAAACAAAATTGTTAAATCTAGGGAGCTGATGGTGACTTTTAAAATCCAATGACAATGTAACAAGGTTGGGAGGTTTTCTTAATTTAGAACAGAGAGAGGTAGCCCATGCGTTAATCGTCCACAGCTACTGTTCTTTCTTGTTCAGTTCAATTCAATTTATCAGATTCGCTTTTAATACAGTGGCACTCATACGAAATGTATGGGCCATCCAAAAGACATACAAAAATGTGACAAGTGAATTTTCGCATTACCCATGGTGGGTGGGCGTCAAAAAGGTCAGAAAGTCCACACAGTACAGTGCATTATTTTTGTTAGATTTTGGAAACCCATATCTTATAAAAATTCTACTTAAATGTCCATTAATAGGGTATTGTAGGAACATGAAGAAGTAGCGTTTTACAGCTTTTTGTTTTAATGCATCAGGATATTCCTACGAATTTCGTACCACAATAGAAATCTACGGTTAGCTGGATCGAAATGAAGCCTTGAAGGGACGAAGGTCCCAATAAAAAACAACGTCGCTCCTTGATAGCTAACTTTGTTTATTTAACATCACAATAATTCATTATAGTGACCAATTTTAATAGTTTTTTTTTTTCATGAAGTAAACAGTAAAATTTTGCCTAGTTTCAGTGGTTTTTTTTTTGTTTTTTTTTTTCAATTTTCAGTTTAAAAAAACAAAAAACAAGGGCTTATGATGACTGAAAAGTGGAGTTTCCTTCTTCCGTTCAGCTGGGTAAAATCAATTACTTTAGGCTATTTATTTATATATTTATTCTGGTTTATTCACATCGAAACATATTTCGTGGCAACACAAAGGCTGAATTGAGAAATATTAACAAAATTCGACATAAAAAACAATTATAAACTAATTAAAACGATTACACCCAAAATTGATTTCTATGATCATAAAAAGCATGTAAAAATGTGCTATTATCCACATACAACCATTCACTTTATGGACGTTGAGTACGATTAAAACTGGTAAGTTTAAAAACAAAGCTTACCTTGTCATTTAGAAGGTGGGATATTTGGTCTTCTGGAACTTGTCTTGACTTTAAAAATTCTTCCATTCTAAACCTACAATAATTACCAGTATATTCGTGTGGGAATAATTGTTTGTTTATGATTTTTATTTGCAACCACATATTATTAATCAATTATTATTAGAGTAATATATTCCCTTCCCACTTGTTGGACAATTGGCATTCCCCTCCCCCTCCCATGGACACACACACACACACACACACCCACACTTCAGTTCCTAGAAATACCAGCTGACATGGTGTATTGCTAGTTTAGTAGATGCATTGGTATTAAATAAATAAATGAAGAAAATACTATGCCTACCTAAATAACCAATCCTGGGCTACTGTTGGCTTACTGCCAGGTTTGCCCAATTATGCCTAAATAATGGCCTTTGCAAGCTACAAGGGATTATGACTGGTTGAGCCGCCGACAAGTTGAGCCGCCGGTCATTTCTATGGAACGCCAAGCGCGTCTCTCAGTGAATGTAGTGCGTTAATTGCGGCGTATTTCAATTAACTTATTCGTTCTTAGTACTGTTGTTTGGGATGTATTTCAGTTTATTTACTCAATTATTTCAATTTATTTAATACTCGGTTTTTGCACTGATTTATTAAATATTTTTGGGACGTATTTTAATTTATTTACTTGTTCTTTCTATCGTTTTAATTTAAATTTTGTGAGTATTTGCTCAGTCAGCTTGCCAGGTAGTAAAAAAAAACTTCATACATTCTTATCATTTATTATATATAAGTATAACAAATAGTACAAAAATAAAAATATGTAAATTACAAAACCATAGTAAATACTGTATAATAACATAGACCTAACACATTTAAATTTATTGTTTATAGTCATCTGTCTAATTCAGTCGGCTTGCCAGATAGTAAAAAAAAAACTCCATACATTTTTATCATTTATTATATATAATGATATATAATAAATTTAATTAAATTAAATAATTTCACAAAATAGTACAAATAACGAATACGTTAATTGAAATACGCCGCAAACCAAACGTAAAAAATAATCAAGTTATTACATTTTTAATATGATTTTGCATGACTATAAACAATAAATTTAAATGTGTTAGGCCTATATTATTATACAGTATTTAATATGGTTTTATAATTTATATATTTTTATTTTTGTACTATTTGTTAAACTTATATATAATAAATAATAAGTAATTTAACAAAATAGTACAAATAACGAATAAGTTAATTGAAATACGCTGCAAACCAAACGTAAATAAACACATTTTTAATACGATTTATTTTTATAAAAATGTAGTACATAAAATTACATTTTTAATATGATTTTGCAATTATACAACTTCATATATTTTTATAAAAATATAGTACATAAAATAATCAAAATTCTAATTTTCAATTACACAATTATACATCACGAACGGCAATACGAGCAAATCAACTATTGACAAGACTGTGTGATGAATATGTTGGAGGGGGGGGGGGGGGTGTTCATTCACTGATGACATCGGCAAGCCGACTACATTCACTGAGAGACGCACTACATTCACTGAGAGACGTGCTTGGCGTTCCATAGAAATTATCCCGCTACAAGTAGGCATCCGCATATCCTTAGGCCAATGCTGCGTGCATAACGCCAACGGGGCCTAGCCTAGGCCTGGCTTATTGTCATCATATTATAGGATTAAAACTACCGTACATTGCACTTAAAATTTAGGCCAGGACCTAATTAGAAAATGAACAAAAATATAATATGATCAAATTTATGAATAAACACACGTAGGCCTACCATTTTGTTGCGAACAAAACCACGACAAAAAGATCTACGACGGGTCTCTTTCAAGTTGTTAGTCGAATAGTCAGGATTCATGAGTTTGTACTAGGAGTAACATCTTCTTGGTGTGGGAAACTTTCAGGCAAATTCACACAGCACGAACTCCTGGCTGTGGACTTGATTAAAAACTGGCAGCTAGCCAAATTAACTACTTGTATTTGTCTCTGTGATTCCGACTACAGTACCTTGTCTTACCTCTACGTCAATGAACTCAGGCAATGCAACTAAAATGTTCTTTTTTAATTTCATATACTGATACACAAGTATTTTTAGGCCTACTTGGTGATGTGTGATTATAAACTCATTTCTATCCCTACCCTACACGAAATTCGACATGTACGGTCTCAATGGGATTTCCCCCGTAATTTCAGGATGGCCTGTATTTTCTTTCGCAGCTATGAAATGAGTACCATTTAATTATATACAATGGATAAAAAAGTTTCCATAGAAATCTCTACGGTTACACCCATTGCTTAACAGTGGATAAAAAGCTTCAATTAATGAACCCCGTATTGTTTAATTTTAGCTGAATTTGTTCACCCCCGAAGGCCTATATAGCTTGCCTTATTCATTATGCAGCATCACAATTTTATCTAAAGAAGGCGGACGCCAAAATGTTAACATTGTCGCACATAAGTTTTGGTTTATTACATCTCCGATGCTACACATAAAATAGTAGGCTTACAAATACTAGAGTCAAAGAATATACAGTAGATAGAATTGTAGGACGCTGTACAACGATGAGAATTTTTCCCACTACTAATTCCATTTAGCAGTCTTTTATATTTAGCAGCCGACATTCTTCCAGGCAGTCAATACGCACACGGAGTCGAAAACGAATGTAGGTAAGAATGGCCCCGGAAAAAATGGCCCCAGAAAAAATGGCCCCGGAAAAAATGGCCCTGGAAAAAATGGCCCCGGTAAAAATGGCCCCATAAGACAGGTAGGTAAAAATGGCCC